TCTTCTTGCAAAGCACCTTAAAACTTCAGGAAAGTAAAATAATTTGATTATTTCCAGCTGGTTTCCCATATATCCAAATTCAAAAGAAGTTTTGAATTGTTGTCATGTTATGCAGGCACATTTAAATGTCTCTCGTGGCTGGAGCTGAGCCTTCTGGGTGGAGCTGAGCCTTCTGTTTATATTTTGCCCAACAGTGCTATATTGTCCTCTTACTTTTTAAATGAGAAGCTGAATATTCATGGAAAGCTGGGCTGTGTACTGAGTATTCTGGGATCTACAGTCATGGTTATTCATGCCCCAGAGGAGGAGGAGGTCACCTCATTAGATGACATGAAAATAAAGCTGCAAGATCCAGGTCTGTAGATTTAACCTGCAATTCTTCATGCAAAATGCTATGTGACAGACTTTTGTGTTTTCTTACTTCACTGGATCTTTCGGTGAGTGAGTGAATTGAACTGAATTTTATGCAATTTTTCACTAAATTAAGATTTCTTTTGATAAGATATGGAGCTTAATATTTCTGTTACTGCCTTGTTCACCATGTTCGTGTTATGGATATGAATGCAAGCAGGCTTTTAAGTACAGGCATTAAGAACATCTGAACAAATAGAAACCTGGCTTTACGTGTGTGTGGCTTTGTTTGTTCATTTGTGATATATGTGTGTGTGTATATATATGTGTGTGTGTGTGTGTGTGTGTATATGTATGTTCGTTGTCTGCACTTACCTGAAATACTGCATTAGCAAGAGTAACAGCAGATAGGCAGTGTGATGTTATGTGAAAAGAGTTTGTAATAAGGCGTCTAAAAGTCCTTATAAGCTTCTTTGCCAAGGAAGGCAGCAGCCTGCGTACAAAGGCAGGCGCTGGGCGAGCTGGCGCAGGGCACCTCACAGTACGAGTGATGGCTAATCCTTACTTTGTAGGTTGCATGACTGTGACTGTAGAAACTGCCAAAGTCCGTGTCCTCCAATGTACAAATATTTCTGGAATACACAGTAGAGAATTAAAGATAGTGTCTTTATTCATGAAGTTGTTTATAACCTGTGCTTTTACAGTGCCCTAGATAGATTACATAGTTTATAGTTCCAACGCCCCAGCAAAACACAACGTCATAATGTGGTCTTGAAGAACTGCACTGAAAGTAACCTGTTTCTTCTGTAATAAATATCAGCAAATACAAGAATGAAACTTTAATACGTATATACTTACAGTCTGATATTTTCCAGTGCATGGCATGCAACATGCTGGATATTGTGTAATATAATTTAAAGATGAGCATGCCACCTAATACATGTACATCTACCAGCGTTTTCTTGCAATGTTTTATCTAGACATTCCAAACTCACTTAACTAGATATTTAGTATAAAATAAATGTAACCCTAGAATACTATATTTGTGCACAGTATATGGACCTTTGAGGGCAGACTCATCCCTGAATGCATCTAGATGAGCTTTCCTCCCATCATGTGCTTAGTCATATTCTTAGCATTTATGACAGCCACAGGTCAGAATAGAGAACACCAAAGGCTTGCGTATGCTAGATGTGTAAGCATAGCGTTGGAAAGTAGGAAGCACAGTAATCTTTTGTACTTTTGACTTCAATTAGTGAGTGAATTACTTCAGATTTCCTTCTCCATCTGTAATGATGATAATAATAATAATTTACTTCTGATGTGCGGGGAGGCTGGAAATTGGTTAACTATTTTCACAGACTTTGAGCTTGCAGTTTATGCTTGCAAGTACTGGCTAATGAAAGCATAAGCACTGCAGAAGCTCCAGCTCGGAGCATTTGGGTCCCTCAGGGGCAGCTCTGAGAGCTTAGCAGGATCCCAGACAGGAAGGTCCCAGCTGCAGAGCTTTCTTAGGCTGACTCTGCCAAGAGCGTACAATCCCCTAAAATCAATATAAAAACAGAGAGCTTCCGTGTGCATACTTATTTACGAAGGATAATTTACCAAGGATATTTACCCATGATACAGACGTAAGACCAGGTACCTCTTATATGGCTTCTTGCAGATTATTTGGCTAAGAAAGGATGTACTGCTTCTTCCAGCCCTTTCAACCCTGCGAGGGGATGAAAGGCTCCATAACCGAAGTTATCTCCACGTTAAACAGATAACAGCTTTTGGTTACCTTCACCTTTAACCATTTCGCATTGCTCTCTAGCTCTGAGTTCGGCTTACAGCCTTGCTCTAAGTAGGTACATGTTCATGCTAAATCAAACGAACCTCTCCGGGTTGAGGGTTGTAGGGTACATATCAAAAGCGAAAGTATATTTGAGAAAGAGAGGAATTTCACATGGAGAAGTGCAGCTTAGGACAAAAATGAGGATCTTTGTTCGGCTAGTCTAATCTCCTGAAGCCTTTTGTGGTTGTTGGGTCAATAATTACATAATTTTTTAATGTGGTGTTACTGTGTGTGTGTACACATCCTTTTCTCAAAGGTTCTGTACTTCCTCTTTCAAGTAAAGGAGAACCACTCTTTAATGAAAAGAAACAACTTTCTTTCATCTGTAGATTGAAGAGACCATTACTACTTCATCAGACTCACTAAATATTTTCTCCTATTTTTTTAGGGTGAATCAATACTAGTAGTCCAATAAAATGTATAGTTATCATAAACATTCTAAATACAAAATATATTTTGGATTAATTTCATTGAAAGTGTTAAATGAGTAGCATTGCAATGGACTTGTGCTACAGTTCATAGAGAATTGTTAGAGAAATAGAATAATTTTTATCATATACTTGAACACAGTTTGATATTCTCATGTTTGTTATTCTTCTCTTCTTCCTTTTCCTCTTTCACACAGTGTTTATCGCATTTGCTGTTGTCATAACAGCCGTTGCCCTCGTGCTGATTTTTATTGTGGCTCCAAGGAAAGGTCAGACAAATATATTGATCTACATTTTAATTTGTTCAGTCATTGGTGCCTTCTCTGTCTCATCTGTCAAAGGCCTGGGCATTGCCATTAAACAAATGCTGGAGAGGAAGCCAGTTTATCGACATCCTTTGGTTTATGTTTTGGTGGGCGTCTTAGTGCTCTCGGTCAGCACGCAGATCAACTATCTCAACAAAGCGCTGGACATGTTTAATACGTCTCTAGTGACACCTATTTATTACGTGTGCTTCACCACTACAGTGGTAACATGCTCCATCATCCTGTTCAAGGAGTGGAACAGCATGGATCTGGGGGACATCATTGGCACCCTAAGTGGTTTCTGCACTATCATCATAGGTATTTTTCTTTTGCATGCTTTCAAAAATGCTGATATCACCTGGAATCAGTTGATGTCCACGGTTGTAAAAGAACCTTCCTTGCTGTGCCATGAACATGAATCCTGCCATACCTTGCTGGAGAACGTGGAAAGCCCAGTTATGGCTCATGAGGAGGGCAGTGTTTTATTTGGTCAAGGAAGCTCTCAAGCAACTGTTCATCAGTGAAGTACCATGAATTGCAGACTCAGCCCACCTATGTCTATTAGAACACCTTTCCGTCCCACAGTCCTCTGGAAGACCATCTGTGAAGTGAGTTGAGCGTGGGCCACTCCCCTCTGTGCTTGGAAAAGTAGCCAGCTGTTGGTAGAAGTGAGTGAAAAGGTAAAATAATTAACATGACAGACAGAAATCTGATGGGGATTATACAGCAGGCAATAAATAAGTTTGTCCAGTTTCTATGTTTAACATCACCTATTGGAGGACTTCATTTAAAAAAAAAAACAAGAAAGAAAAGCTTTCTAAGCTGTATTTTACAAAGTGCAATTTTCCCATCATAATAAAAAATAATGTCCTTGCTAAAACAACAAGCAGTCTGCTATTATCTTAGTAATGGCTTTGATATTCCAAGCAAACTTGTGGATGTTCTACCTGAAGGGTATTTATTCACTGAGCTTTCATAGGAAGAAAATGCTGTCTAATCCTTTTAGCTTTTAATATCAAACTGTATGCAAGATCTTTATTGACTTTTGAATGCCAATGAACCTTGCATGGGTGCTGCACAAAAATGTTATGAAATTGGTTATTGAGAACCACATCTCCTTCAAACTTTTTTTCGATGCCAAAGTTCTGACTTTGCTACCCCAGGAATCCTTCACTCTCCATATGTACCCTTTTACTTCAAAACCATGACCAAGTTACAATCAAGTGGAAAAAAAAAAATCATAGCTGTTTAGAAGCCTGAAAACTCTTGCTGTTCACTTTAAAAAAAATTACTTAAGATGAAAGAATAATTTATTCAAAGGCAATGAACCCATATGTGCAATTAATAATTTCCACTCTTTTCACTTCCTTCTTTTGCCTCAGAGTAATATGGAATTCATTTATTTCAGAGCTTCCTGCTAATACTGCCGTCTATACATCAGAACCCAGTTAAGCTTTAAAATTTTTCTATTCTTCCAGAAAGGGACCAGTGTTTCTTGATAACAAAACAGTCCTGTTACTTTATATTTTGTTATGAAGGCAGAGTTCACTTCCAAACAGTGCTCTGGCTCTAAAAATACTATGTAAAGGAAAGGCTGTAAACAACGACTGAGAAACATCAAAATATTACAGAGAGTGTTTTTCTTTGTCCTTTCCTTCTTTTCTGAAAATGAGTATTTGCCTCTGTTAGATGTTTTTATCTCTTAATCTACTATATTCCTTGAAGATTTGTATCTGTATAACTGTTTATTCCTCAGTTGTGGTCACCACTGATCTTTATCTCATAAAACTTTGCACAGGCCGTGTTTTACTCGTCACCATCCCCTTTATTTGCTCACTTTACGAGCAAGAAAGTTACGTGGGCGATCAGCTGCGTGGGTCACGGTCACACACAGCTCATCAGAAAAGTGGTATTTCCACATCTTGGGTTTCTAAAAAAAAGTTCAGAACCTTTGTCAGAGGATTCTAGCATTTAAGCGGGAAAGCTGGATTAATTAAAGATGAATTTTAATCAGCTGAGATTTATATGCAAAATGGAACCTCCTTATACCGCAGGCTATGCATTCCCTAACTCACAAAGAGGGTAGTAAAAGCAGACGCTTTGGGTAGATAAAGAACTGTTCTGCTAAGTGAAAGCTCATAATTACCTTGCAAGAACAAAATGATTGCTACGAGTATTTCATGTTTATGTTGTGCAAAGTTTAATATTGATGCTAAGGTCATGTATTTAATTTTTGAAAGATGTCCATGAAACCTCTCTCTTCTTATTTATTTCCTCCTCCCCAGATATGTTTTAGAAGCTACTGAAAACTAGACAGTAACGCTTGGGATGCTAACTTGAAATCTTTTCTGAATTACAGGAACACTTTTACACACATGCATGCTCTTATTTTCCTAGGAGGAGGGTATCTGAAAAATATGATAGAGAAGAGTGTGTGCAGCTCTTGTACTTTATACAAGATATACAGGTAATCTTGTCAACATAAAGAGAAGCTGAGAAGATCTGATTAGGCTATAGGTGCTCAGGATACCACCTGTGATCACCTAATTAGAGAAGCACGTTTGACGGTGCAGGAAGTGGCAGCAATGCTATCACAACAGAGGCAGACATTTTCAGAAAAAATATTCTTGCCTTGTAAATATAATGACAATGTAACGTGTTCAGCTGTCGAATATTTTTCAGCTTTCCAAGTGGTGTGACAGATAGCAAGTCTTTGCTATTAAGTGCAAGTGTTAAAATAAAAACTTTCCAGAAACTGGAGGACAAGGAAAAGTATAAATCATGGTGTCATAACTTCATAGGTAGTATAAAAAAAATCTCAGTTTTATTGGTCAAATCCAAGCTGCAAACACTTTAGAATTAAAGACAGTTAGTAATATGATTAAAAATCAAGTTTACTTTAGAGTAACTCCAACTTTTTAGTTTACAAAGCTTCATTGCTTTTTCAGTGTGAATTACTCATTTAATTTATACAGTAACCGAAGAAGAAAATTTTGATTGACCCTAAAAAGACAAAGGGAAAATAATTTTGCAGAGGTGGTAGCCCCTCTCTTCACTTACGTAGTTGGCAGTGTCGTGCCACTGAGTGGGTTATTGGTATGAAAGAGTAACCAGTCCAATTTTTGTGTGGATATGTGTTGGCCTTTTTACAGGCATGTAATATTGCTTTTTTTGATAGGGACATGGGCCTTTTCTGTATCTACTCCTGACATTCAGCTAACTTATACCAAGCAGGTATAATTTCCTAATTAACCTGTATAGCTACTTTTATATAAAAATAGCTTAACATCTACAAGGAAAGTAATGTTATTTTCTTCTGAGTCAGCAAATCAAAGTTAAAGCTTATTTTCGTGACATATCAGAACTCCATAATGTTAAATAAATTACTGATTTATTTTTGTATACAGTAACATTGCCATAAGATATGTTATTTTTGAAAATGTTTATATTTACTAATTAATTTGGGAGAATTTTAATTTTTTAATGAAATCATACCAATATGTATCTTGTAATAAAGTATTCTTGGGTTGGATACTAAATGATCTGTCTTTTTTTAAAGAAGGGGGAAAAACAATAAGTTATGCTTCTGGTAAGTATTTAAGTGCTATCTGATGAATCCAAAGTGAGTAAGCTTGGTTTTAGTAGCTGGTCCTATATACACATATTTGTCATTCTAGATGAAGAAGAATGTCTGGCTGACAACCTTGCAGTTAACATTTATCTGACCTGGTCATTACCTTTCTTTAGTAGTTTTTGTGAGTGGAAAGATAAATGTTCCACCCCCCCCCCGAAAAAGCCGGATGGGGAACTACTGTGGAACTACTGCGTCTGCACGTTTAGCTAAAAAGTCTGTAACGGAATTGACAGGGGAAGAGTAGGGGGAGAAGGAGAGGTTTGGGATCCTTAAAGGGTTATCCACATTTGCCAACGTATGATGCTGTTATCCTGGTGCTCTGTAGAAAGCCTCAACAAGGAACACTTAATACTCATCACTGAGCTAATAAGTGGAAGATGTGGATTTTGAGGAACAAAAATAATGGGGAAATGAAAATACCTTCCCCTTTAAACTAGGGAAAAAAAACAGCCAAGTCAATGTATTAGTGAACTCTTTTTAAAGCCCGTTGTCAGTGGAAAGCATTTTGGTGAACATTTAGGTTTTCTAGACAGCGATATGAAGGATACTATTTCAAGTTATTTGAAGAGTTATGGAAAGTAGGGGGAATGGTTAAGAGCTAGAACAAAGAAAACCTCAGAGGCAATACGTTGCTAACCAAATTAATTATGGCTTTTAAAAGCTGTTACCAAACAATCTTGGCAGCTACTCATTACTACAGTACCTCCAGACAAATGGGCAATTAAATTAGTTATGCAGCTGTGCTGATTAAATGTAGGTATGTCAAGGGAACTCGGATGGGTTAATTAATCTGTAGGGAACTTGGAAGGAAGTACATAGGTTACAAGTTTCTGTAGAAACCTGTTCTACTATCTTCCTTTATCTGCCTTCCTAGCCAAGCCTAAAACAGCCATGCTATAATAAAGGTGATTTCTTCCCAAAGAGTGTTTGTTCAAAACGTAAACCTTGTTACTTATCACAGTTGCGCCCGGGGGTGTTGCTGGAATTACGCGCTCATGGCAAACATGTTGTTACTACTGAAATTTCAGTAAAACAAAACTGGCAAGCGTATTAGGAAAGCCTCTTTAACAGCGTGGTTTCCAGGCGTCCCATAGCAGAATCCCTCCTTGCAGTTTTTAAAGAGTAGTAGAGGTTTGGAGCTAGAATAGGAGGTGATGTGGAAGTGAGGCCGTCTGCTGCATATACATGTCATACATGTAAGTAAATCTGCATGTATGTCTCTGTTGTGAAATGTGGTTGTTTAGAGAAGGAAAAAAAACATTGGTCTGAAAAACAAATGCACATAAACTTTGTCAGACTTGTACACACAAGTATAATTGATCTACATTATTTGTCGGGAATGCTTTTGAGACATATCATTTCACAGACCAGTTTATTAGTGATTTAGGTTTCAACAGAAGAGAGATACAGCCGAAGCGGCCTGTGCACAGAAATGGGAAAGTCTGGCTTCTTTCCCCATCCCTGATACTGCTTTGCTGCAAGTCTGTTTTCTGATGCTTGAGCATTAGTGGCATTTTTCACAAGTGCTCAGGACTCAAGCAGCCCTAGGACTATGTCTCCCTTATGCAAATACACAAAGGTCTTTTAAAAAAAGAGACCAAAAAAAACCCCACCCAGCCAGCAGAGTCCTTCATGCTCACATCTGCCTCCTTGTCAGTGTAGGGGACCAGGGTGGCATTCACTCTTCACCTGCACGGGTGCTTTGACTTTGCCATTTGGAATATGGTTGGCATCTGAGCAGTACGCACAGGAACCATGAGAACTGAGCTGTAATTATTAATCTTTATTCATGGGTGCAGCTCTTCTAATAAGTAAGTATACTTAATATACCAACCTTTGTCCTGCTAGGCATTTCTTGTTGCCAAATAAGCACTGATTTCCATGACTGTGAAGCATACTATAGCACATTTTAATGTATTTACACTCAGGCATTTGATATCAACTGTTAAAGATATCTGTGTATTTGTGTTGATAAGAGATTACTTGGAACTGTCTCAGTCCAGCTTACAGACAGATTATATTCAAATGCTGAGGGACTGGTAGGCACGCGTTATTTGCTCGGTGCATTAGACCAGCATGTTTCAAGGGTGCATGAGTGTTTGCTCTGGTACAAGCAGGAGCAGGCTGCTTTGAGCATGGAAACCTACCTTTTAGTGCACAGTAGTGTAGAATCTGCTAGCTATATATTAACTTGCAGTAGTAAATGTAGCAAAACCAGTTTTACAAGAGCTATTAAAAGAGATTCGTCATACACTATTCAAAGTCTCCATGTACTTTTACATTGCAGATGAAGGTTGAATTTGGCATTTGTAGAGCATAACCTGCTGAAAAGCATTGTATGTCTGTGGCCTAGGCATAAAATTGTGGTGAGCGCAATGCACAGTACTGTATTGTATAAGTCTGTATTCAGGCATACATCTAATATGGAACTGAACGCTCATAAGTGAATAAGTCAATTATAAAAGTAAACAGTGCCATTGATTAGTGAAAATTCTTTTAGGAGATTACCCAAAAGATAAGGATATGTTCCACTTGAAGCAGAAACACCTTAAAATTGTATTTGAAAGTATTCCCAAAAATTTAAATGATACGAATAACAACTTCCTTTTCCAAGGCATAATAACCATCAAACGGTGAGTTATTACTATCTAGAGTGAATTCAGCCTACAGATACTGTCATCTTCTGGAAATTCAAAATTTGGGAAGATTTAGATATTCCTTTTCATTGTTGCAGTAATTTTTAAAATTTGGAAATGGGAAAAAAGTAAAATTAAATTTTATAGAATTTGATCATTCTTCAGATAATCAGTTTTACGTACTTTGCCTATAAAATGCTATAAAAATCAAATATGCCTGTGTTTATAAATGTCTCAATGCAATCACATATTAAAAAACTATTTATTTGCAATGATCTAATTCTTATATTACATAATAACTACATGGGCCTTTTCTGTAATATATTTGTATTGCTCAAAATAAACATTGAAAATGAAAAGTGAATAATAACGTAAGTCTGGCTTACAGAAGCTATTGAGCTAGACTAATTCACTTCATTTTACTGTCAGGTGTCAGCTTCAGCTAGTCCGGCAGCCATCCCGGGCACTCGCAGTGGAGGACCAAGGTAAGCGGGGGTGTTTGTCGAGGGCAAAGGTGAGGTATTGCTTCAGTGGTTGGTCAGTCAGCTCACTGCTGCCGCTGCTGTTGAAATACTGGTCCTTTGCTTCAGTGCTGCCTGCCTCACAGTGAAAAAGGTCTTGGCTTTGAACTTCACTTATTTAGAGCTTTATGAGAGGTTCTTGCATCATTTTTGCTGTCACCCATCTGCACTCCCCAGTCCTTGATCCATATTAAGTAACAAAATCATTTCTTATTAATATTGTTAGAGGAATTAGTGTAGCTCTGATGAAAAAAATAAATTAAAAGGCTCATATAGTGAGTAAGCTTGGTTACATCTTTTCAGATAGGAGATTCTTCTCCCTGAACTTGAAAACAAATGGCTTTATAGTCCACAAGCAGTCTTCTGAGGTGTCTTACTCAAATGACTAAAATAAATTAGGCCAAGCCTGAACAGCTGCTTCAATATTTAGTCACTGTGATTTAAATAGAGAAGGCTGAAAAAGACTGAGCTTTTTGTATCAACTACATTATTGAGAGGCTTAATGCTAACCTTTCAGTAAATAAATATGCATAAAAGCTCTAATTATCCCATCTCTGTTATATCCGTTAAGGTCTCTAGTAACTCTGCAAAAGTAGGACGTCCTTCAGGTTTCTGAAAAGCAAAGTGGAGGATAACTTTATATTAGCAGTTGATCAATTATGGTACTAGACTTCAGAAGGTGGTTGCACACAGATGTAAACTGCAACTTTAAAATTACATTTGATTTTATTAATATAAGAGAACAAAAAGACTGAGCTTATCATTTAAGAAAAAAAAAAAATCATGTGTTCCTCAAGTAAATGTGTCAGAAATCAATAGAACGCTTCCTAAAACCATGAGCATAGCCACTTTTCAAAGTGTTTCTAAAATTTATTTAAAGGACATTTATCTCATTTCTGGATCAGAATTTCCATTTCCCCCATTTTCCATAGGGTTTCTTCAGCTGCAGTGGATTGCTGGAAAGCACTGTCTTGGGAAATCATGATACTCAGAGATGTTACCTGAGCTGCTGAGAAAGGATCTTCCCTGCTGTGTTATTTCACGTATTGCAATATGGAGCAAAGCACTGGTTGATGTCAGGACAGAAAAGATGATGATCGTCCCTGCTTTCTCTCTCTGCCTGCCTGGCATCCCACTGTCTGGTCACAGTAAGCAAGCAAGCTATGCACTTCAGATTTCAGTCTCTTACGCTAGCTTTATTAAAGGTCTAAAAGTTTCGTACTAGTTTTAAGATACAGGCTAGAAAGGAGATATGGGATAAAGGCCACAAAGATCCTGCTGTAACAGTGTATGCCCACCTATTTAAATGAAAGCATTACACAAAGTTCTTCTGAAAGTACTTTTTACCTGAAATTAAAGATTTACTTCCTGTAGACACTGTAAGTGGAACCTTAAGAGATTACTCAGATGCAGAGGTTGATGGAATCCATGTTTTCGTACCAGTGTAGAAAAAAATAGTTGCTGGAGCAATGGATAAAGAACATGAAGTCAAGAATATGAAGGGGGGTGAAAGTGGGGCCACCTAAGAGAGAAGGAAGCAAACTGTTTGCTGCATTACTACAGCTGTAGTGATGTACACATCCAAAGAAGAGGCTGTAAAATCTGCACTTTGTAAGCGTACCTGCTTTGTACAAGACTACGCTAAGCTCATCATTCAGAGCAGAGCTAGAGAAAGCTATGCATGACATGGAGGTGTGAAAAAAGTATTGTATTTGATGCAGCTGAGAAGTGAGACAACAGTGGAATATTCAAAAACAAGAACGATGTAGACCTATTGTACTGATGATATGTGTTATGTTTATTGGATTTAACAACCAAAAGAAACAGAGGCTTGTAAGCTTAGCCATGATTTGTGAAAAGCAGAGTGAGCTACCGAGGATAATATCACAGGTAAGAAATAAGTATTTAACGCCTCGTTTTTGAGGGCTGTCTTTAGATCCACATTACAAATGAAGAACACAGCAAAGTAGTATCATAAGACAATAAAAGCAACAAACCTCGTGCCAGCAGCTGTACATGACTTTGTAGACAGTATGTGATGCCAAATACGGTCGATAAAGTCGGTTACCCTCAGAAATCTCACGGACAACTTCTGAATTTGACTTGCTATCAAAAGGCATTTTGCCTTCTGTGAAAACTTCCCACATTAGTACACCTAGAAATGAACCAACACATTTGGAACAACAACAACAACAACAACACCTAAGTTATTTAGCAGTATCAGAAGCACAAAAAAAAATACTCCTTGCTTTTTGGCATGTTGAATAAGGCATGAAAATATGGGCAACCTGAGCTGAATGAAAAGAGACAATCAGCAAAATTCTCAGCTGATGCAATTCTCCTATTTAAGTGAGCTAAGAAGGTGGTCTATGAAACTGATTGAAATGAATATGCATTTGGCTAATGGCAACGTACAAAGAATGCATATTTCAGTCAAAATCTTATTTTTAGACAAATCTTATTTTTAGACAACTAGGGGTTGGGTGGATGAGTATTTTCATGATCAGTAGCAGAACTGGGGATTTTTGTGGACTATGTGTAAAGTGACATGCAAGACTCTGCCTAGAAAAAAAAATTGTTAGGAATCATGAAATTCCTACCCTGCAGGAGAAGTAGGATCTAGGATTTGGATGTGCAGACCAGGACCCCTAGCTCCCAAAAGATCATAGAGCCTTCTTATTCCGAAACAGCCTCTTTCAATATAGGCAAGATTTAAAAAACGGGGAGGACTAAAGCGAAAGATAGGTAATGACAGTAAAATGTTACACTTTTCCAAATCTTTTCAGAAGTTTTAGAGAAACGCAATATCTTGCACATTAAACTAACCAACTCACCAAATGACCAGACATCTGATTTGCTGCTATATTTTTTGAAATGAAAGACTTCAGGAGAAGACCATTTGACTGGAAACTTGGCACCTGAAGAGCTGATATATTCATCATCAATGACATACCTAAAAAAAAAATCAGAGAATAGCTTCTACTTTAATGATAGTTAAAGAGCAAGTCATTTTGGTTACATTTCCACAGGCAATTTATAATTCCACAAAAATATTATCTCAATACAGAAACACAAAGAAATTGCATCACATATTAAATATAAAATACACACATACAGACACATTCTGTGTTATGCAATTAATGAGACGTATGTTATAATAAAATATTTTAATGCCATTTTTAGACTCACAGGATGGCTATTGTTAGTGTCTCCCTGAGAATACATTGATAGGAAAGGTCACCGCACCATGGCCAAGAAAGCCAGCAGTAATAAGTAATTATTGTCTTTCTTTCTAAAAGAGACGACCTTTCAAACGTTTGTTACACCCAAAAGCTGCCAGCAGAAGGCTGTGCTTCCATAACTCGTTGGTGACGCCTGCTAGCCAGCCTCACAGAGGTAATTTCTGGCACCTTGTTACAGAAGAGACCCACAAGGAGATTTTCATCCCATATAGGGCAACAAGCCTGTCAGGTGCACTGAAAGAGCAACTTTCTTTGCTCTAACTTGTAGGAGCTACGTGAAAGTCTCCCAGATAAGATGAAGTTATGTCTGACACGCATTTGAAGTACTAGGGCAACTTTTTAAAAGGCTATTAGACTGACCCTGTGCATACATACGAGTCTTGTGCACGTTTTCCCAGTATTAACTGGGATGAGCGGTCAACAGCGATGCACTATGGAAAGCTTGTTCTCAGAGAAGGCATGATGCACGTGCTCCTTTTACAGCACGTTAACGAGGGCACATGGAGAGAAATTGCCGCTTCGTTACCCTTTCTTATTTTGGCGCGGGCACAGACAGAGCACAGGTTATCTATCATAAGTGCAGAAGAGCTGGTCGCGGCAGTCGGGTGAGCTCTGAATGCTTGGAGGGTGCTGCCGTCGCTCGGGGCGGGCTCCCTGGGACCTCCCTCCCAGGGGCCCTCCAGGACCTGGCCACTGCCAGGCCCCCCCACAGCCACTTCTTGGCCAAAGAGAGCTGCCGTTCAGGTCCGTTTTCCCCAGGCTGGACCTTGACAACCTTTTCGTCCCTCGCTGTGTTTTCTTGGTGACTTTGGATGAGTTCGGACTCCTGATGCTGCCCTGACCCTTCCGGGGAGCAAAGCAACCAGCAGGCGCCGTCCTGGTATGGGACGGCCTTTTAAAAGCAAATATTTAGTCCCAAGCAGCCAGAGGGTTACAATCCTTAGGCTGGAAATACCAGGTGAAACCTAAGGGGAGAGGGGGGGTCCACAGGAGGGCTGTGCTGATCTAACGACGCCCTGTGTGAGGTGACGGCCACCCCTCGGTCCCCTGCTCCGTGCCGCGCGCCGCCTGCCTCAAACGGCCCAGCGCCAGCTCTGCTCACCCAGCACGACAAGCCAATAAAGCAGAAAAGAAAAGAGCTTTGTGCCGGGCCAGCAAGCTGAAACGCTTTGGTTCGCGATCGGGGAGGAACAGAGCCAGCCGGGCCGCCTCGCCGGGCGCCCGGCCGGAGGAGAGGCTCCGGGTAGCAGGGACCGCTCGGGCAGCTCAGCTCAGCTCAGCCCTGTAACCCCCGCGTCCGCTCACGAAAGGCCGCGGGGCCGCAGTGAGGCTTTCCGGCGGGCGGCTCCCTTTCTCCAGGCTCCGCCTGG